AATTTACTATGAAAGACATGATTTATGTGTAGAAGACAAAAATCACTGCCCTTTGGTCTGTGATGGATAGTTTTCCCTGTCCTTTGGACTGTGGTGGATATTTTTTCCTTTCCTTTGGTCTGTGATGGATAGTTTTCACTTTCCTTTGGTCTGTGATGGATAGTTTTCCCTGTCCTTTGGTCTGTGATGGATAGTTTTCCCTGTCCTTTGGTCTGTGATGGATAGTTTTATGGATAGTTTTCACTTTCCTTTGGTCTGTGATGGATAGTTTTCCCTGTCCTTTGGTATGTGATGGATAGTTTTCCCTGTCCTTTGGTTTGTGATGGATAGTTTTTCCTGTCCTTTGGTCTGTGGTGGATAGTTTTATGGATAGTTTTCTCTGTCATTTGGTCTGAGATGGATAGTTTAATGAATAGTTTTCCCTGTCCTTTGGTCTGTGATGGATAGTTTTATGGATAGTTTTTCCTGTCCTTTGGTCTGTGATGGATAGTTTTATGGATAGTTTTCCCTGTCCTTTGGTCTGTGATGGATAGTTTTATGGATAGTTTTCCCTGTCCTTTGGTCTGTGATGGATAGTTTTCCCTGTCCTTTGGTCTGTGATGGATAGTTTTATGGATAGTTTTCCCTGTCCTTTGGTCTGTGAGGGATAGTTTTCCCTGTCTATTGGTCTGTGAGGGATAGTTTTTCCTGTCCTTTGGTCTGTGGTGGATAGTTTTATGGATAGTTTTCTCTGTCATTTGGTCTGAGATGGATAGTTTAATGAATAGTTTTCCCTGTCCTTTGGTCTGTGATGGATAGTTTTATGGATAGTTTTTCCTGTCCTTTGGTCTGTGATGGATAGTTTTATGGATAGTTTTCCCTGTCCTTTGGTCTGTGATGGATAGTTTTCCCTGTCCTTTGGTCTGTGATGGATTGTTTTATGGATAGTTTTCCCTGTCTTTTGGTCTGTGATGGATAGTTTTATGGATAGTTTTACCTTAAAATCAGTGTATCTTATGACAAAACTGCTATGATCTGAAGTCAATTGTTCTGTTTGGTAGTACCTAGATTAAAGTCACTTTCATCTAAGATATTACAGATTTTCTTTACTATTTTCATTTATATAGTGATTTAAATATAGCCACCAATGTTATTCAGGAAACCATCAAAACAAATTGGATGAATTGTAAAGATTTGTCATCAATTATAGTCAAGTTCCTTTTAATTGTTGAAAAAATCATTAACTTGTTAAGTTGCACATGGCTATTAGCTAGTAATTTCTCCATTTTATATAACTTTGATATAATTTATTTTTTATAATTGGGAGAGAACATATGACTTGTACTTATTTTGTATAATACATAAATATTGCCTAGTGGTACCTTCTGTTACTATCTGGACAATTTAAAGACTTATTTATTGTGTGTCAAAGGCGCCAGTTTCAACAACATGCACAAAAGAAATTAAATGTTTAGAAATGTTAAATATTGATCTTAAATGGGAACCAAGTCAAAGGGGAGTAACTCCAGTGCTTAAACCAAATTTGGGGAGTATCAGATGTACATATGTCAGCATATATATTGGCCAGATAAGTGGTTTGTAGAAAAAGTTTCATAGAATTTTTTTTTCCAAACTTAAATTTTGGGAAACAAAACAATACATATTGGATTGTCCTGATTTTTTTTAGACAAACAATTTTTTAAATGTTCTTGAAAAAAGTTTTTGCAAAATACATTTACACAATGGAAAACACAACCCAATCTGTCTTTAATTTTAAAACAAACAACAATTTATTTAAGAATGTATACAAAAATATCTTAACAAAATATGATTTTGAACTAAAGCTTCAAAAGAGCCTGAATCACTCAGCTGGTAAGAATATGCAACATTTATAATCATGAGGAACCGTGGCAAACATCTGCCACACACTAAATAAGAATGTATCCAGGTATGATTCACTCTGAGAATATTGATGCATTGTCATGTCATTTAAGGAAAATAACTCAAAAAACGATGTCTCTCACTTTATTTTCTTATAGATCTTGTCTTGCTGTGTAGTTTCTATTATAGTGTTTAAATAAAAAAAAATGCTAAAATTGGTAAAAAAAACCATTTAGGGGTAGTAACTCCTTTAGAAAAGCAAGCCACCTTCTTAGCTATGCTCACCTATTTGTAAATATGATCATTTTTAAAGCTGATCACAGTTTTTCACAGTTTTAAAGAAAATAGCCATAAAAAGAAAAAAAATGATGAAAATTGTCATTGAATGGCACTATAAGTCTATTGTCCATTTTTGTCATGTTGACTTGTTTAGCTTATCATTTTGACTGTTAACAGTTTCTCTCTATTAGTATTAGTGATTGTTTTCATAATATTAGCAAAAAAAATGTAAAAATTTGTGGACTAACAATTTCTGGCATTGTAACTTTTAAGTTAACTTATCTTGGTGATCATTTTAGCTGTTTACAGATTCACTCTATCGACTTTAGTTTTTGCAGAAAACACAAAAAGGTAAACATTATCATTGAAGGGCAATAACTCCTGTAAGCTTGATTGCTTAAAGTCGAAACTGACACAGTCCAAAAAAGCTGTATCCAATTGGATTTAACTGACAATATTGATCATGATGACTGTATTTGTTGATCTTCTCTAGCAGATTGTTTTTGGCTGTTTAAGGTTTCTCTTCATCTTTTGTAATTTTTGTTTCAAGATTATAGCCAAAAATGCAATTATGGGTAAAAGTTGTCTTTTAAGGGCAATAACTTCTATAAGGAGAGGATTGACTTATTAAAAAATGTTCATTTAATTGTAAATCTTATCCTGCTAGTCATTTTTGTCCAGCCCAGAAAAGAGACTTAGCAATCCTAGATTCTGTTGTCGGCACCGTCAACATTTAGGTTCAGTCTGGGGTTAAAGGTTATTTGGACATCATTAACTTTGTCAAACCTTCATGGAATTTTAGGAAATTTTGACAGAAGCTTGTTTATGACCAAAAAAACAGTATCCAAGGCTATATTTTTCCATATTTAACTGATAAATAGACTTAGTTTTTTTAACAGTTAACATTCAGATTTAGTCTGAGGTTAAAGTTTTTTAGATCTTCAATAACTTTGTCAAACCTTCATGGAATTTATGATATTTAGACAAGCAATTTTATAACCAAAAAACAGTATCCAGAGCCAAATTTTGAAAATATCTATTTTCCTTTTTCCGTATTTTAATGATAAATGGACCTAACTTTTTTTACAGTTAACAAGGAGATACAGTCTGGGGTTAGAGTTTGTTACACATCAATTACTTTGTCAAACCTTCATAGAATTTTATGAAACTTTGGCAGAAGCTTTTTTTATGATTAATAGTATGTCTGAAGCAAACTTTTGAAAATATATTTATTTCATTTTCATTATTTTTCTGATAGATGGACTTAGGTTTTTACATTTAACATTTACAGACAGTTTGGGATTAATTTATTTTTACATGATAAATGTGTAAACCTTCATGGATTGTTATGAAACTTGGACAGAAGCTGATCTTCAAGACCAAGAAATAGCATCGAAAGAAAAAGTTTGATTTTTTTTTTAAAATTCTGTATTTTACTGATAAATGGACTCACTTTTGAAGTCAACATTACACTTATACACTGACAGCAGCAATCGCAGGTGAGACTCAGGGTTCCGCAGAACCCCTTGAGAATTTTTGTTTATTTAAAGTTTCTCTCAATCTATAATAGTTTTCAAATTAAAGTATCTACTAAAATGGACATTTGAGGGGCAGTAACTTCAAAATGGATACTTCAGGGTTGATAGATCTTGACCTATTTATTAATTTTAACTGGTCAGTTTTGCTATGACAGCTTTCATTTTTGAGACATATTAATCAACAACTGCAGTTTAACCCCTCTGTTCTATTTTGTGGCTGCCATGTAATAATTGACTAATATATACTTGTTATAGGGGAGAATCATTCACCCAAGTCTTAAGCCCCGCCCCTGATGTCTCCCTCAGCAAAGTGATCAACTAAATGGCTACTATTTATATACTACTTCAAAGCTTGCTGGTTTAGATACAAGGTGATTAGTAGGAATCTTAAGCATGGTTCGTCCCCTGGTCTCTCTTCCAGCTAAGCAAAAAGTTAACCAACATTCTTACTGCAGAACAGAGTATTTAAAGTCATCTCATCATTTTTTTTTATGAATACACCAGTATTATACATTGTATTATTGTACTGTGTTGGTTGTATATGTTGATATAACTGAATTATGACTGTATCCTGGTCATTGCCCCTGAAGGGATCTTAACTTAATTGGAATCAACACATTGTTTTGTATTGTATTGCAACATCACTTTTCTTCATTAAATATTTACATCAACAATAGTGTATGTTCATTCACAACTTAATTGTAACACTGGCAGTAATGACTTCTGTATATTATTCTGAGAATTACCTACTTGAAACAATCTGTATCAAATCAAATGTGTGTAGCCTTTCAAAAGTTAACAAGTGGTATAGTTATCAGGTAGTTCTTAGATACCATCCTCGAGATACCATCATCCATTAGTCTGGAAAACCTAATAGATCTTCTCTTTACTTCTAAAAACATTTCTGAACACTTGATGAGTACCAGAATAAATTTAATCTAAAAGTTAAACCAACATTTACAGCCCATTTAATTTGAAATAAAAAAGACTTTCAAACCTTCTGATAAGTCACTAGTATAGATTGTCCAATACCATTTATTACATATCTAAAACCGTCTTCAAATCCATGCATTTGATATTGATTTGACTGAAATATCTTTTTTTGGGGGGTGGGGGAAGGGGGAGTGGGGTGTTAGGCTTTTTCCTTTATTCAATTTTACCTAGAACAGTGAATCAAATTACAATTTTTTTGGTCGAATTTGTATGTTTTCTCTGATGATGCCAGATTATATTTTTGTATTTACATGACATAATTTTTGGGCACCAAAAGAATCTTTTTCATACTAATACTTTTCCTTGGGCAAATGAAAAATCACAAAAAAATTATTTTACTCTAATAGTTTAATTGTTAATATAGTATAAATATGTAAAAATATTAGTACATCAAAAGGACTAATTATTGTTATTACTGAAAGAAGGTTTCAGCAATTTACAAAAGTATATATCATTTAAATAGCTATATGAAGATAAAAAAAAATATAAAAAATCAACTTTTCTTCTTGGCCATTAGCGTATTTTAATTTCATCTAAAGATATTGATATACCTTCATGTTTGATTTATTGTGTGATAGAATAATACAATAAAATGCTCCGCTGGGCGCAGCTTGATACGACTGCAGAGGTCGAAACCCTGAACAGTTGGGGCAAGTATGGACACAACATTCAAGCTTGATACAGCTCTGAATTTGGATTGTGATTAAATATTTGACACAGCATAGGTTTCTGACACAGAATGAATGTGGTCTAAGAACTTAAAAAAATTTAATTTACCTTTTCAAACCATATCATTATTATTTGCTTTTATATATAATCAGAAATAACCAATTTAAAATGGAAAATTTTAAAGAAAAAAAAAGGGAAAAAAAATCCCCCCCCCCATTTTTTGAACCCCCTTATGATTCATCACCCCCAAACTCAATCCCAGCCTTCCCTTTGTGGTATGGTACCTTGTAGTACAATTTCAGAGAGATCCATACACTTGAACACAAGTAATTGTCTGGAAACTAGAAAAATGCTTGTTTTTTTGGCCCCTTTTTTGCCCCAAATTCCTAAACATTTAGGGCAATTACCCCCAAACTCAAACCCAGCTTTCCCTTTGTGATATGGAACCTTGAAGTATAATTTCATAATGATCCATACACTTACACATAAGTTATTGTCATGAAACTAGAAAAGTGCTTGTTTTTTGCCCCTTTTTGGCCCCTTATTCCTAAAATTTGGAGTCAATTACCCCCAAAATTAATCCCAGCATTCCCTTTGTGATATGGAACCTTGTGGTACTATGTCAGAGAGATCCATACACTTACACACAAGTTATTGTCATGAAACTAGAAAACTGCTTGTTTTTTGCCCCTTTTTTGCCCCTAATTCCTAAAATTTGGAGGCAATTACCCCCAAAATCAATCCCAGCATTCCCTTTGTGATATGGAACCTCGTGGTACAATGTCAGAGAGATCCATACACTAACACACAAGTAATGTCTGGAAGTTACAAAAATGCTTATTTTTGGCCCCTTTTTGGCCCCTAATTCCTTAACTGTTGGTACCATAAGCCCCAAAATCAATCCCCACCTTCCTTTTGTGGTATTGAACCTTATGGTAAAATTTCATAGAGATCCATTCACTTAAACTAAAGTTAGAGTGCGAAAACCAATGTGTCTTCGGACGATGACGACAACGACGACGACGAGGCCAACGTCATACCAATATACGACCGCGAAATGTTTTTGCTGTCGTATAATAATGAATTCATTCACTCATATGAGAAGGGGAGATAATTTGAACCCACTGTATAACAAGAAGATTAACTCTTATGAGAAGGGGAGATAATTTGAACCCACTGTATAACAAGATTAAATGGAGAGAACCAGCTCTCATTGTAAAACATGTAAAAATATATAAATATCAAATATAAAAATATACTAACAATCTATTTTAATTCACCAACAAATAGAAATTCTTTCATTAACAGAATATATATATTCTGGATTGTGACATTACAAATCTGAGTGCATTTATTCCAAACAGAATTAACAAATTATTAATTCTAAATAAACATTCATTCAAAAAGAATTAACAATGACAGAAACTCTTATCCAGTTAGTATAAAAATCAAATGAAAAAATTTGCACAAATACAAAAATTGCTTAAATATGTTAAGAATGATACAAAAACAAATATATAAATGATGTACACAATGGAATGATTGCTGATCAATTATTTTTAGGATGAGTTGTCGTGAACTTTTCAAATGAAATTTTATATAAAATATTAATCTTACATGCATCAACATTTAGTTCAAGAATTTGATACGTATAATAGTCTGAGATGTTAACATTTTTTGGAAGAGCAATGGAAGAGATTTTGTCAAGAACAAGTCCTTAAGGATTTTTTATGAATTAAACAGGGGTTCAAATTAGTGTAGGTCCAAGGTCTGGGACCTGTCTTTTCTGGGAAAGGACTTATCATTTTTAGATTACAAAAGTCAAGGACCTACCATTCTTTACACTGATGCTTGATACACGACCATTGATTTCTTATAGAGGACCCTTCACTTAAAATTTCAAATGGTCCCGGACCTTTCATTATTTAAAGCAAATTTGAACCACTGATTAAAATACCACATACCTTCTTTTCATTGATATGATCACACAGTTATGGAGGAAATGAGGACTACAACCTACCAATTATATTAACTTATAAATTTTAAAGTCACTGAACAATGAAAATGAAGTCAGGGACAGAACATACATGTCAGAATCCTTAGAACTAGACATTCATACCTTCAACTTTTGAAATAAAATTTTATGGGTTTTCTTAATACCATGTTATTCCTATCAATCACTACCATTCATCACAGACAATAAAGCATCAATCAGAAATGTTCAGTTTCAATAATGTTTTGTGAAGGATCATCTAAGTAATCCAATATGAACTGCTTTAATTTGTATGGTTCAAACCAATCAACCAACCACCGATCTTCTTCCAGCGGTGGGTAGAATGCAGCATGAGTGTGGTCTTTCTTTTTTACCATACAGACTCTTGGATAGTCAAATAATAATTTTGGATCACCATCGTCTGTAAAGAGAAAGAAACAATTTAATTTATATATTGGAAAAAGGAAATATTAGACATACTACAAAAAAAATTCAGGCAGATTTATTAAATGTGAAAAATTGTTAATATTCAGGTAAATATAACAGTTTGGTAATAAAAGTTTAAAGATTTTCAGCTGTTATTCTGTGAAACAGCCTTCCAGACTATTTAAAAACTGACAATACTTGTTTTCACAATTTAAGAGTCCTGGAATCATTAGCTTATTTGTGTTATTTTCATTTATAATTATAGTGCTGCTTATCTTGCTGATGTTGTTGAAGTATGCTTTTTATAAATTTTATTTGTGTTCAATTTCATTAGTGAAACCCTCTATTACTGGCTCACAGTGTATAAAATGACTGGCAACAATATGAGATCATGTTTATGAGTTTCAGTGTTTGATGTTCCTTTAAGAATTGTTGGGGCCATGGGACATCAGAGCGAAGTCCATTTAGAAAACATTGAAACTTGGGGTGGCAAGTTTCTGTCTTGAAATTGTAATAGATCCATTTTCAAGTATTAGTTTAAACATATTTTATTTGCTTAAATATGTAAAAGGGATGAGACACAAGTTAATCAAACTTATAAAGTCCTCTCCCATTTTTTATTCAAGTACCAACCACCTGTAGCACAAATGAAAACACTCCATTCAACCCCCCACTTTCTTAGTGGTTTCAATTTGAACAAGTTGTCATGTGGCTTTGTTATCTCATTCTGTGATAATGAATGTTGAGAGTTAATTATAGTTCAAAATATCATGGAGTAAACATTTTTTATTTAACTGCATTACTAAAGAGTTTCTTACATTTGATCATAATTTTAGTGTAATCTATAGGCAAAAACTGCCCTGCCCAAGCTGGAAACTCTTCAACATCCAGGGTCATAACAATTATCTCATTATAAAACTGGTACGCTACCTCTGTTAAAACCTATAAAGATATATAACAACTGTAAAATAAAACTTAACTGATCCATGGTGCATATTGAAACCTGTAAAACTTGACAATATCTGGTTATGGAAAGTAATATGGACTTTTTATTTTTTTTTACAACCTTTCTTTTACAGTGTATGTGTGCGAGACTTTCATCACTGACCACCCCCCTTTTTGCTGCTTGTTTAACATACTGAATGGTCCTATAAACTGACATTTCCATTCAAAATTTAAAACAGGAGTGCACATGCAGAAATATCTCGCCTGCTTTACTGACCATTGATTTTATGTTGATTGTCCTAAATAAAAGCTTTACTACAAGTATCACATAAACTTAACATGATCCAAGAAAATGAGGTCAAGGTCAGATAAACGAAACCGGAAATACATGTACACCATACAATTATTCCATACACCAAATGTAGTTGACCTATTGCTTATAGTATACAAGAAACATACTTAACCAGGAAAACTTAACATTGACCAATGCACCATGAAAATGAGGTCAAGATCAGATGAACCATGCCAGACAAACATGTACACCTTACAATCAATCTATGCATTAACTATACTTGACCTATTGCTTATAGTATCTAAGAAACAAACTTAACCATGAAAACTGAACATTGACCATAGAACCATGAAAATGAGGTCAAGGTCAGATGATACCTGCCAGTTGGACATGTACACCTTACAATCATTCCATACACCAAATATAGTAGACCTATTGCTTATAGTATCTGTTATATGGTCTTGACCACGAAAACTTAACCTTGTTCTCTGATCCATGAAATGAGGTTGAGGTCAGATGAAAACTGTCTGACAGGCATGAGGACCTTGCAAGGTACGCACATACTACATATAGTTATCCTATTACTCATAATAAGAGAAAAATTAACATTACAAAAAATCTTAACTTTTTTTTCAAGTAGTCACTGAACCATGAAAATGAGGTCAAGGACAATGGACATTTGACAGACGGAAACTTCATAACATAAGGCATCTATATACAAAGTATGAAGCATCCAGGTCTTCCACCTTCTAAAATATAAAGCTTTTGAGTAGTTAGTTAACACCGCCATCTGATCACTATCCCCATATCCAGCTTTCTGCGAAAAAAGTTGCAGGCTCGACAAAAACAACTTTTGACCATCTAATAGATTCATTGATACATCCCATTGGGATTAAACAACACATTATTTATAGAAAGATAAATGTAATTATGATACCAGTTTATATGTGCATAACAGGAGTTTCTGGAATAACTGATGTAAACCTATGACATAGATTTCATGCAACTTAATGAGAAGTGTAGGTGAGAGTCGTTACAATGTTAATAGGAATAACAATTTTGTTCCAATTATTAATTTCCATTATTTATATTTTCATATATCTATCAAAGAGGTCTACAATAGCAAAGGAAAGTGTCTTATTAGAACTAGTCATATTAAAGAACCTACCTGTGAAAATGAGGCTGTATCTGTCATATTATCTTTGTAGACTAAAGCAATTAATATTGGTAAGTCTTCACTGTCTAAGCTAAAAATGTCAACAAAACAGAAACTAAAGCAATCAATATTGGTAAGTCTTCACTGTCGAAGCTAAAAATGTCAACAATACAGAGACTAAAGCAATCAATATTGGCAAGTCTTCACTGTCGAAGCTAAAAATGTCAACAATACAGAGACTTAAGCAATCAATATTGGTAAGTCTTTACTGTCGAAGCTAAAAATGTGAATATTCATTATCTTATGTACAGATTTATACATTGTCATCAATTTAAAGTATTGCCTGGAAGTAATTTATCAGATTAATCCATAGTGTTATCTAAAATCTCTATCAATAAGACTGTTTTACAAAAAGAGAAAGATCAATACAATACAAGATCACAGACACAATAAGTTGAACTGTGAGCTGTTGCTCACAAATGATTCCTGTGTATCACACAGTATAGCATATTCACATAAAGCTTGATACTGAATTTCAGGAACACCCAATTTGTAGTTCCCTGAGAAAATATGACAGAGAAGGACTGACTAATGGACTAAGGTAAACCAGTATCACAGTGTAGATACTATTCTGTACGCTATCTGGAAGTCACGATTTTCGAAGCGATGATTTCGAACTGGCTAACAGGACGGTTTTGCCTACGGTGACTTTTCTCATCATTTGTTTACTCCTATATCTATAAAGTGCTTTGAACATCTTCAAGGTATGTATAGCATCATAAATATAAGTAACTGTAACAAAAACATGCATAAGAATATAAAATATACGTGTGCATCACACCAACTTGATAGAAAAAAGTGAAATCGATGGACAAGTTTGCTCTCGTAGTACAAAGCAAATAATCTTTTAATGCAAATATTTGCATCAGTTTACAGTTAAATATATACTGTTTCAATATTCTTTTCGTATTTAAGTAAAATATTTGTATTTCCCATAAAACAATATGTTTTCCTTGAGGATCCCAAAATAAATTACTGTACGATCAGTCTAGAACTGACTGTATTCTAGAAGCGATTTCAGATTTTTTGACTGTATGACCAGTCGTGATTTTGAAAAAGAAACAACGGCAATTTGAAGGTATATATGTGTCTATGTGATATTATGAACTGTCCAGGGAACTATAATGTGTAATTTCTTTCATCAGACAATACAAATATATTTCTGATGATTTTTGTAGACGGCATTTGTATGGGAACATATATTTGGAATCCCTTTTCTCCTGGAATGGACCCCCTCTCCATTTAAAAATGGCTGGAACCCACAATGTATATTAAGTGGTTTATGAGGAGATGCACTTACAAAACCGACGAAACATATTGTACCGGTCCAACGGAAAGACGGACTTCATTATCACTATAAACCCCCGCTTTACAAAGTGGTGTACAATTGAGTGTCAAAGAGACAGCTCTACATCCAAAACAAAGTGAAGGAACTGTGATCAATTATAGGCTACAGTACGGCCTCGAATGTGTGTAAATACATGCATTTTTATATAACAATTAAATCTGTGTGTTTGTACAATTTTAAGTATAACGGAGGACATTTCTGAAACTTATATATACAACAAACCTTCCTCTTATTTTAGCAACATTTAAATATCCTTATACTTAATGTAGTAAGTCGAGTACACCCCATCAAGCTAAAACATGTTTCATAAGTTTTCAGGATGTGAATTTATTGAAATATATTTGTGTTATTTAGAAAAATGCCACCTTCTAATGTATCGTAAATAACTTTGAAATCACCACTAGAATACAGTGAAATAAAGACTGATCATACAGTTTCAAAATATACAAGCGAGACTGATCGTACAGTGAGAAATTCAAACAAGTGTAATTTTCTTATTTCTGGCTTCAAAGATCTGGTTGAAACTTTTACCACCACTTGAAATATACATGTACTTCATTTAGTTAATTACGTCTGGTTTTTACGTTAATTTGTACACTAAGAGGGTAAAAAGATTGTTTTTAGGTTCACCGACTGATTTTCCTTAGTGATGCACTTGAAAATCTCTTGATGAAGTTAAAGATACGAATAATGAATGTGCTGAATTTAATTCTAAACCATTTGAGAATATCGATGTCAACTGAATTAATCATTAAGCAATGTACAGATGATCAACTTACCGTTTAATTCAGTATATCCATCAAATTTAAAATGTGATCCAAAAAGTTCTCGCTTCGAAAATCGCGACTTCCGGAAAGCGTACAGAATAGTATCTACACTGTGAGTATACCCCTACTTTAAAGTGGATGTATGATAAAGATGGCTTTATACTTGTATTACAACCTGTTTTTTTTTTAATCTGTTCTAGAGGTTGTATGCATTCAAACCTTTATTTCATTTACCATACATTCTATTTAATGATAGAAAAATATTTTATGTCTTGATATAATTTTTACATAGTATCAACATGTTCAGTTCCAAAAAAGGGTCTATATTCTGCTTTAATTAGTATTATCAATACAGAGGTTTGATGTTATCTGATATAAAGATATACAGTTATTATGAGGGAACAATCATCCCTCCTTGATGACAAGTTTATGCCATATAAAACATCTCGTGTTCAGGTACTGGCAGCACATGAAAAAAATCCCCTATTGATGATGACACATGTTTAAATTTCTACAAGTGGACAAAGGGAGATAACTTAAATGAGTTATTTCTAAAATCCTGCTGATTTTCAAATGTCTAAGTATGAATATGGCTTAAGTTTTCAAGAAGAGACATCCTAGCTTTACAGTGTATATTACAGAATATAATCAGATCAACAAATGAACTTTGTGTTTTCAAAAACATAAGGACAATAACTGCATCTTACAAATAAATGTCTCTCCAGGGAGAAAATAATTTTATATATTTCAGGCTGATCTTTATCCAAAAAAGGTTGTCAAAAAGATACATACATTAAATATCTACTAACCAAGACATATTTTTTTAAATTCTGTATTATAAAAACCAGATAATTAATTTGAATAGCCTTATATTAATTATTGGTGCCCCCAATAGACAATATTAGGAGTAACACTTGTTAATCAGGAGATAAAATTTATTAAGAGGTTTTTATTTAGAGCAGGTTTGTTTTCCTTCATCACTGCTGTCACACTGAAAAACAGATTTGATGACATCAGTTTATCTGTAAACTTATGATTCCTTATAACTATCTATGTCACAAAAACAACCTGTCCTAATTTTGATTTTTTATTAACTGCCCCTTCTCTTCTTAAAATGGAGCATAGACCAAAAAGTTAAATACATGACATTATCAAAATGTGTTAAGTCTTACCTATCAGATGTATGAAATGCATTAGAGTTGATCTGTGTTATTGGCAGACGTGAATGGTCTAAAGTAAAGGCTGTTATAATATCTGTACAAGCAGCATGGTCAGTTTCACATTTCTGACCATGCCCTAATTTATATCTGCAAATGAAACATAGATAGTTGAGTTATAATGGATAAACAAAGGAATGGGATATCCATTCATGACACAAAATCAGTACATGCACAGCAAAAAAAAAAACACAAAAAGTAAAGGAACAGCTTTTATCTATGTACATTCTTCAATGATATAAAATAACAAGCATTCTGTGAGTATTGCCTGGCAATACATAGTCCTCTACCAGTTAAAACTTCGTTGTACTGGAACAAAATACTAACTTGATCTATAACTTGTCATGGTGTAAACTATATAACAAATATCAAGTCAATATCTTCAAGTATGATGAAAAAAATGTGGAAAATTGATTGTTTGAGTGAATTTTCTAAGTCCAAGGACCATAACTCTGCACAAAATCATCAGACCGGAACAAAATTCAAATTTGATTTGTAACTTGTCATAATAAAACTATATACCAATTATCAAATCAATATCTTCAAGCATGACGAAAAAAAGTGAGGAAAAGTGATTATTTGAGTGAATTTTCTAAGTCCAAGGACCATAAGTCTGCACGAAATCATTAGACCGGACCAAAATTCGAACTTGATCTGTAACTTGAACTTGAAAATTCACTCAAATATTCAGTTTTCCGCATTTTTTTTTGTCATGCTTGAAGATATTGATTAGATGATTGGTATATAGTTTTATCATGACAAGTTACTGATCAAGTTCAAATTTTGGTCCAGCCAAATGATTTTGTGCAGAGTTATGGACCTTGGACTTTGAGCAATGAACCTTGAAAATGAGGTCAAGGTCAATAAAAAACCTACCAGACTGACATGTGCATCACAAATATTTCCATACACCAAATATATTTGACCTATTGCATGCAGTGTTAGAAAAACAGACCAAAACACAAAAACTTAACTTAAACCAATGAACCATGAAAATGGAGTCAAGGTCATACGATACATGCCAGTTGGACATGTACACCTTACAGTTACAATCATTCCATACAACAAATACAGTAGACATTTTGCTTATAGTATCTGAGATATGGACTTGACCATGAAAACTTTACCTTGTTCACTGATCCATGAAATAAGGTCAAGTAAAAACTGTCTGACAAACATGAGGACCTTGCTAGGTATGCATATACCAAATATAGTTATCCTATTCATAATAAGAGAGAAATTAACCTTACAAAAAATCTTAACTTTTTTTTCAAGTAGTCACTGAACCATGAAAATGAGGTCAAAGACAATGGGCATATGACAGACAGAAACTTCATAACATAAGGCATCTATATACAAAGTATGAAGCATCAAGGTCTTCTACCTTCTGAAATATGAAGCTTTAAAGTAGTTTAATAGTTAATGCCGCCAGCGCTGCTGTCAGATCACTATCCCTATGTCGAGCTTTCTGAGACAGAAGTTGTAGGCTCAACAAAAAACTAAGTCCATTTATCAGCAAAATAAGGAAAATGTATTTTCAAAATTTTGCTCTGGATACTATATTTTGGTCATAAACAAGCTCCTGTCCAAATTTCATAAAATTCTATGAAGGTTCGACAAAGTTATTGATGTCTAAAAAATCTTAAACCACAGACTGAACCTAAATGTTGATGCCGCCAACGACGGAATCTAGGATCGCTATGTCTCGCTTTTGCGACATAATGTTGCAGGCTCGACAAAAAGCTCTGTATAATCAGTTTGTAACAATGTATGTATGAGCTTTGTAGAGAATGATTAATTTTGCATGACTGATTTTTAAAGAATGATTCTGTGAACATAACAAAGTATTATTGAGCTTTGTGGAACCTGATTTTAATCATGTATCTGCCTGATTTTCTGAAAACTGTTTCAACAATGTAAAGTGTGATTTACTGCTCACTAATAAATACACCCCCTCTTGATTTCCAGTGAAAAGAAATATATATAGGTTACCAATTTGAAGCTTGGTAACAAATAACAAGAAGCTCTAATTTGTAGTTGCTGAGAAAAAGAAACAGAATTTCTTGTACCTGAATCAAAGTATAGATCATACAGGTAAGAGAAAAACAAAAAGTAGACAAGAAATGAATGTAACAGGATGCTGTTACGAAGTCTCCCAAACGAAGCTCCCATAATTCGTAATTCCCAGGGTCGCCTGACATTGGGCAACATCCATTGAAAATTGGTTTGGTCCAGTAAAGTTATATGCATTAGTGATGCCTGGGGACTAACCTTGTATATCATTCAAATCATCTTGGCATGACAAACCAGAATATATATGGTTTAGGGGTGGGGATCTCAACCATTTACAAGATACTAGAATATTGGGGGTGGGGAGGAACCCCTGGGGACTGGCCCTATACATCATTCAAATGTTCATTACATGACGAACAGGAATATATATGGTTTAGGGGTGGCGATCTCAACCATTTACAAGATATTAGAACATTGGGGGTGGGGGGAACCCCTGGGGACTGACCGTATACGTCATTCAAATGTTCGAGACATGACAAATAGGAATATATATGGTTTAGGGGTGGGGATCTCGACCATTTACAAGATATTAGAACTTTCTCAAATGACAGGGGGTCGGGATGACCCCTGGGGACTAACCCTGTCTATCATTCAAACCATCTTCGCATGACAAACCAGAATATATATGGTTTAGGGGTGGGGATCTTGACCACTTAGAAGATATTAGAACTTTCTTAAATGGCAGGGGGTGGGGGTGACCCCTGGAGACTAACCCTGTATTTCATTTGATGTGCTTTATCATGACAAACCAGAATATATATGGTTTAGGGGTGGGGATCTCGACCATTTACAAGATATTAGAACTTTCTCAAATGGCAAGGGGTGGGGGTGACCGCTGGGGACTAACCCTGTATAACATTTGATGTGCTTTATCATGACAAACCAGAATATATATGGTTTAGGGGTGGGGATCTCGACCTTTTACAAGATATTAGAACTTTCTCAAATGGCAGGGGGTCGGGATGACCCCTGGGGACTTACCCTGTATATCATTCAAACCATCTCAGCATGACAAACCAGAATATATATGGTTTAGGGGTGGGGATCTTGACCACTTAGAAGATATTAGAACTTTCTTAAATGGCAAGGGGTGGGGGTGACCCCTGGGGACTACCCCTGTATTTCATTTGATGTGCTTTATCATGACAAACCAGAATATATATGGTTTAGGGGTGGGGATCTCGACCATTTACAAGATATTAGAACTTTCTCAAATGGCAAGGGGTGGGGGTGACCGCTGGGGACTAACCCTGTATAACATTTGATGTGCTTTATCATGACAAACCAGAATATATATGGTTTAGGGGTGGGGATCTCGACCATTTACAAGATATTAGAACTTTCTCAAATGGCAGGGGGTCGGGATGACCCCTGGGGACTTACCCTGTATATCATTCAAACCATCTCAGCATGACAAACCAGAATATATATGGTTTAGGGGTGGGGATCTTGACCACTTAGATGATATTAGAACTTTCTTAAATGGCAGGGGGTGGGGGTGACCCCTGGGGACTTACCCTGTATAACATTTGATGTGCTTTATCATGACAAACTTGAATATATATGGTTTAGGGGTGGGGATCTCGACCATTTACAAGATATTAGAACTTTCTAAAATGGCAGGGGGTCCGGATGACCCCTGGGGACTAACCCTGTATATCATTCAAACCATCTTAGCATGACAAACCAGAATATATATGGTTTAGGGGTGGGGATCTTGACAACTTAGAAGATATTAGAACTTTCTTAAATGGCAGGGGGTGGGGGTGACCCCTGGGGACTAACCCTGTATAACATTTGATGTGCTTTATCATGACAAACCAGAATATATATGGTTTAGGGGTGGGGATCTCGACCATTTACAAGATATTAGAACTTTCTCAAATGACAGGGGGTGGGGATGACCCCTGGGGACTAACCCTGTATATCATTCAAACCATCTTAGCATGACAAACCAGAATATATATGGTTTAGGGGTGGGGATCTTGACCACTTACAAGGTATTAGAACTTTCTTAAATGGCAGGGGGTGGGGGTGACCCCTGGGGACTAACCCTGTATTTCATTTAATGGGCTTTATCATTTAGAACATTTTCAATTAAAAAGTTTGTGTCTATCACGAACGGTTTTCAATTTATAATCATTTGAAAATTTTAAAAAATAAAATCCCATAGGGTTCTATAGTAAAACCCTCTTTTCTTTTTGCCCCTCAAAGTACCCCTTTATAAACCCCATTGCAAAAACAAAACCCTGATTGCACCACTAGACATGTTAGTCTAACATATTGTGAAACCCTAAGTTAATCCGACAAGCGGTTTTGGAGAACGGGTGCGGACAAGTTCAAATTTAAAAGCGGCGGAAGAAGAAGAAGAAGAAGAAGAAGAAGAAGAATAATAATAATAATAATAAGAACTGAGCAAAAACAATAAGTCTTCCCAAACTTCGTTTGGGAGACTTAATAAGTAACAGATCAACAAGATATGAACTTGCTGAGACAAACAAGAAGTAGATAAGTAACAGATCAACAAGATATGTACTTGCTGAGAGACACAAGAAGTAGATAAGTAACAGATCAACAAGATATGTACTTGCTGAGACAAACAAGAAGTAGATAAGTAACAGATCAACAAGATATGTACTTGCTGAGACACAAGAAGTAGATAAGTAACAGATCAACAAGATATGTACTTGCTGAGAGACACAAGAAGTAGATAAGTAACAGATCAACAAGATATGTACTTGCTGAGACAAACAAGAAGTAGATAAGTAACAGATCAACAAGATATGTACTTGCTGAGAGACACAAGAAGTAGATAAGTAATAGATCAACAAGATATGTACTTGCTGAGAGACATAAGAAGTAGATAAGTAACAGATCAACAAGATATGTACTTGCTGAGAGACACAAGAAGTAGATAAGTAACAGATCAACAAGATATGAACTTGCTGAGACAAACAAGAAGTAGATAAGTAACAGATCAACAAGATATGTACTTGCTGAGAGACACAAGAAGTAGATAAGTAACAGATCAACAAGATATGTACTTGCTGAGAGACACAAGAAGTAGATAAGTAACAGATCAACAAGATATGTACTTGCTGAGACACAAGAAGTAGATAAGTAACAGATCAACAAGATATGTACTTGCTGAGAGACACAAGAAGTAGATAAGTAACAGATCAACAAGATATGTACTTGCTGAGACAAACAAGAAGTAGATAAGTAACAGATCAACAAGATATGTACTTGCTGAGAGACACAAGAAGTAGATAAGTAACAGATCAACAAGATATGTACTTGCTGAGACAAACAAGAAGTAGATAAGTAACAGATCAACAAGATATGTACTTGCTGAGAGACACAAGAAGTAGATAAGTAACAGATCAACAAGATATGTACTTGCTGAGAGACACAAGAAGTAGATAAGTAACAGATCAACAAGATATGTACTTGCTGAGACAAACAGGAAGTAGATAAGTAACAGTTCAACAAGATATGTACTTGCTGAGACAAACAGGAAGTAGATAAGTAACAGACCAACAAGATATGTACTTGCTGAGACAAACAAGAAGTAGATAAGTAACAGATCAACAAGATATGTACTTGCTGAGAGACACAAGAAGTAGATAAGTAACAGATCAACAAGATATGTACTTGCTGAGACAAACAAGAAGTAAATAAGTAACAGTTCAACAAGATATGTACTTGCTGAGACAAACAAGAAGAAAATAAGTAACAGTTCAACAAGATATGTACTTGCTGAGACAAACAAGAAGTAGATAAGTAACAGTTCAACAAGATATGTACTTGAGGAGACAAACAAGAAGTAGATAACAGTTCAACAAGATATGTACCTGCTGAGACAAACAATAAGTAGATAAGTAACAGTTCAACAAGATATGAACTTGAGGAGACAAACAAGAAGTAGATAAGTAACAGTTCAACAAGATATGTACTTGCTGAGACAAACAAGAAGTAAATAAGTAACAGTTCAACAAGATATGTACTTGCTGAGACAAACAAGAAGAAAATAAGTAACAGTTCAACAAGATATGTACTTGCTGAGACAAACAAGAAGTAGATAAGTAACAGTTCAACAAGATATGTACTTGAGGAGACAAACAAGAAGTAGATAACAGTTCAACAAGATATGTACCTGCTGAGACAAACAATAAGTAGATAAGTAACAGATCAACAAGATATGTACTTGCTGAGAGACACAAGAAGTAGATAAGTAACAGATCATCAAGATATGTACTTGCTGAGAGACACAAGAAGTAGATAAGTAACAGTTCAACAAGATATGTACTTGCTGAGACAAACAAGAAGTAAATAAGTAACAGTTCAACAAGATATGTACTTACTGAGACAGACAAGTATACCCCTTCAGTTTGAAACAGAGTGTAATGATGTATCACTGGATAAATGAGCTTTGTGAAAAATGTGTAAATTTTCATTATACTGATTATCTAAAAACTTTTTCAGTGTATTAACAAATTACCTATGAGCTTTATGGAACATGTGTAACTTTGTATTTTCTTGATTCTCTAAGGACTGACTGAGTGTATGACCAATCTGCATCAATGTAGCAACAACTCCGTCCTTTCTTTGTAGAATTATCTAATCAATATTCATTATAAAATGTTAAAAGCCTATATGTATATACAGCAGGTACAATAAGTTTTAAACCTAATTTTACAGTAACACACATAATGTATCTTTTTCTTCAATTTTATGGTAAGAAATATAAGTAAAATCCTAATTCGATTTTTATGCAATCCTTTTTAAATGGTATTCAAAACTATCCTGAACTAATAAGGCTGAAAACTGGAGCCCAAACTACGATAAAAATAAAAGTATGAAAATTTAACGTAAAAATGTTTTATTTGGCCTAACACTTATTATGAACTACTGTCTGTTATAAATGGACATTGAAGTAAAGTGAAAAAATATGTTCTGATGATTATCGTATTTATAACTAGTTTGTAGACTGCATTTTTTATTAATAATACAATAATACAACTTTCATCTTAGCTAATGAATCTTTACCATAAAACAAATGCCTACCTTTGATATAACAACATCTAAATCTTTTTGTTTAAATTCTATTTGTGGTAGTTCTTTACTGTAAACTGAATAGCAGGTAGCTTTACCAAATAGTCTTTCACATATCAATCGATAACACTCATAAGAGAAATAATAGTTCTGTTTTCTGCCTGGTGGTATAGGAAGGAATCTGGATGCTTTAGGAACCAGGACACCAACCAGTCTTACATCCTCCTGCGAATAAATTTACAAGTGAAAAAAAAAGATGGTAACATGAGTTGACACAATATCATATCTAGAATTCTGGCCAAATGAAGTCAGTAAGATTTACTTTTTTAATCACATGCAAAAAAATTTCTAACTTTCATGTTTAATTTCTGAAATACAGTCAAATTCTTCGTCTGAAATTGCTCTGACCTATGAAGCCTTTTTGGGACTTGCTGGAGTCATGAGATCGAAATACTTATAGAAAACATGGAAATTGTTGACCCTGACTTGTTCAGAAAACATGGAAATTGTTGACCCTGACTTGGTGTATCAAGTTTTTGTCTCAAAATCATAAAGATCTCAAACAGATAAACCATACATCATTCACCTCACTTTTCATTTTTCTCTACTTATATTTACCTTTTATTCAGACTACCACCCTGTAGCACAAATGAAAGCTTTACTCCCCTCGAGCTGATGTGCTTTCTCTTTGAAGAGAGTGCCATGTGACTGCATTATTTCATTTTATGCCCATAGAACTTTGGTAGTAAATTTATGCATATCACCAAGGGGACTTTCATATATTAACTTAATTTGCTCCTTCTGTCAATATGTTGTATGCAAATGCAGGCCATGCAAACCAATTTAGAAAAATAAGCTCCCATGATTACAAGTTCTGTGAGGAAATAATGGATTGATTGATTGTTGGTTGCTTTACGCCGCATTAGCACAGCAAGGCTATATCGCGGTGAGGAAATAATGGAAGATCACACTATCCATTAAAAACAAACTTGGGCCTTTTATAGCTGACGATATTGTATGGGTTTTGATCATTGTTAAAGTCCATACAGTGAACTATAGTTGCTTAAATTCATTTTGTATGGACTCAGTTGGATGTTGTCTCATTGGCATTCATACCACATCTCCTGATTTGATATTGAGTAATAAATTCTATCAGTAAAACTATTATTTTAGAATTGTAGAAAAATTGTTAAAATGAATAAGAAGTTAGTCTCAATGATAGCAAACATTTTACTATAACTAGTGTTGTCAAATTGAACAGTTTTGCAGGTTACTCGGATAGTCTTTCTACCAATTAACCGGTTAACCAATTGATAGAGTTATACTGAATGCAATGCATGTTTTGTAAAGCAAAATATTTGTCAAATTTAAAAACATACAGCCTATAATGTTCAATTAAGATATGAGAATGATTTATATTTTTTGCTTACCACTAACTGTTGCTTTGGCCATTCAAATAATCTGTCTTTTACTGCAGAACTAGCTATTTCCCCAAACCACACCATTATTGGTTTGGCCTACAAAACAAGTTCTCAATAGTATTAAATGTTGACACAGAAATGTCCTGCCTGTCTGCATAAAATTCAGAAAAAAGACAATCTGATGGCCTCCAAATAGTCGTCAAATTGATATGTACAGATATTAATGCAACTTTATAGAAAATATCATTGATCTATCACAAGTAGTTCCTATCAAACTGACTTAAGCAGAAAACTTAACATTGAAAATTGCTAATTAATTCAAAGTCACTGGTCCATGACCTAGGGGGCAGGGCCTTGAAATAGTTGTTAAACTGATATGAACTGTTAGTAATACAACTTTATAGAAAATATCAATGATCTATTACAAGTAGTTCCTATCAAACTAACATCAGCAGAAAACTTAATATGGAAAATTGCTGATTAATTCAAAGTCTAAATAGCTGTCAAACTGAAATGTGATGATAGTAATGCAACTTTATATTAGATATCAATGATCTATTACAAGTAGCTCCTATCAAACTAACTTAAGCAGAAAACTTAACAATTGTTGATGCCGTCATCTTCGTCGCTGGAGAAGCAATTCCTATGTCTTGCTTTCCGTTACAAAATTCCTCCATTTTCGTCATAGGCAAGACAAAAATCCTTTGAAGTTAATCTTTAAATACACTTGTAACAGCATAACCAGTTATTTTTGCAGTAATCTTATTTTTCACAGTATTTCACTGTCAATTTCAAATTAAAAACAAATTAAATCTGCTAAAAACAAATTGAAAACAGAAATGTTCATGTGGTTTTTATTATTAAAGTTCTTAAATGAATTTAGTCAGTTATTGTATAAATGTAATCTTGCTTTTGTGCACAAAGTTTTCGTTTCTGGTTGATTGATTATGGTAGCAATCATTACCTTGTTTCATGTGCTGATGGCAGTTAAAAATCTCTCATTTGCTTTTTGAAAGTGTGTTGCAAATTTAAAAAATTGAAATCTGCAGAAATATACTTGTATTAAAACCTGTCTTTTGACACTGTTCTAGAGGTTGTGCAATTTTAAAACCTTTATTTGATTTACTATGAATTTCATTTTCTAGGTAGAAATATACTTATGTCTTGATATAAGTTTTACATGGAATCAACAGTCTAGAATCACAAATAATCTGGGGAACATCTATCCTCCTCTTAATGACAAGATTATGCCATAAAAAAACAAGAATGTGTCCATAGTACACGGATGCCCCACTCGCACAATCATTTTCTATGTTCAGTGGACTGTGAAATTGGGGTCAAAACTCTAATTTGGCATTTAAATTAGAAAGATCATATCATAGGGAACATGTGTACTAAGTTTCAAGTTGATTGGACTTCAACTTAATCAAAAACTACCTTGACCAAAAACTTTAACCTGAAGCGGGACAGACGGATGGACTAAGGAACGGACGCACAGACCGAAAAACATAATGCCTCTAGGTAGGGCATAAAAATATCTGTTAGCTCAGGAAAAACACCCACTACAAGTATGTAATTTTTTATGATGACACAAATAAATACAAAACTGTGCCAACTGTTTTAATTTCTGCAAGTGGACAAAGGGAGATAACTAAAATTAGTTATTTCTTAGATTCTGCTGATTTTCAAATGATAAGTATGGCATGTGTTTTCAAGAAAATAATTCCTATTCTTTACAGTGTATATTACAGGATATAGATCACAGCAGCATAGATCTTTGGATTTAGAAAATTTAAGGTTAAATTGTATTTTGAATTTAAGTTGAGCCTATTCTGCATTTAAAAGCAAACATTTAAATTGTTTTTAAATAAACAGTATCCATTTCTAGCTTTCTTGGTCAGAACATAAAACCTAATGGCTAAGACATATACCTGTAAAACTCCATGGTAATCCATTCTTCTGTAACTTTTGTATAATATCTGGCTTTCATCAGAAATACATGTACTACTGTCTAACCAACCAAGTCCTCTGAATGCTGTTACAGTGGGGAATCCCCTTATGTCATGTTCTTTACATAGTTCTACTTCTTCTGTACAATTCACCAAGTAAACTGAGCCACCAGCTACAATAAAAAAAAGAAACTTTCAGATTTGTAATAATTAACCTTTAAAGTGCATAATTTTAAGAATTAAATATTTTTATTACCTTTCAACCAGAGCAACTTATTCTTAAACTGATCTTAATGCACAAATGAATATAAAGGCTGTATGAGCAATACATTTGCATGCAAAGCTATCTATTTTGAAGTATTACTGGATCAATAATTTTCCAAATGCACAGAAACAAATCATTTCTACAGAAAAATAACAAAAAATGTAAAAATAGAGGCTACTTCCTTTAGCCTTAATCTCTATTCTAGCAATAATACTGAATTCAGGCTTGTATAGTCTGCGGATTTTATTCTCCAAAATTAAACTGGCCAGACAGGGTTTTGGATTATAGAGTACAATAAGCAAGAAATAAGAGAAAAACTCGATTTCGCAGGGTTTGTTAATGAAATTGTAGAGGGTGTCCTTAATATCATTTTCAAAACTAATATTTTACCTAATCCATATGAATGTGCAATTTTAATTCAAAATCCATTATAAAGTGATTAATTTCAAAATTAAATGCTCCATTACAAATTTCTCGTTTCTTTTCACAGCATTGCATAACATAAACTGGAAATCGCTTGTATTTAACGAAACGAAAAAAGTGTATAAGTTAGCAAGAACCAGTTTATGCATAACGATGTATAAACTACAAAAAGTAATCGGTTATTCGTTCCATTTTGATGATTCATACTGACGCATGTGTTTTGTTTTAGCTTAAGATCCTTCAAACATTAATATGATGGATATGTTTAACAGCATTTTACTAAAGGATTGAGCTGTTTTACTTTAAAAGTTGTATTCTAGTGGTATCTATTAAGTACAGATTTTCAGCACACCTTCACCGTATTCATTTTCATTTACACATGCTATTTCAAATTCCGGTTTAAACATACACAAGTTTCTCTATACACCATATCGTTATTTTTTCCAATCCGGATTAGTTCTGAAATAAGACAACTTTTTCATCCAGTTGAACCTATCTGTGGCCCTGTTTAAACAATGTATTTTGCATAAAACTTTTCAAAGAGACATTTTTTAACCATTGTGAACACTTCAAACAAAGCATTTTTATGATTTCAATTTGTGTTTTAAAAAAGTGGATCATAATTTATCAAAGTTTCACAATGTTCACTTTCTAAACTTTTTCCTCCCTCAACTCGTTACTGATGACCTTTGTTTTTGCGACACTTGACTCAAACAGGAAGTTGTCTAAGTGACGTTTTTTTCCAGATTGGACTAAATAGCGATAAGGTGGATTGTTTCTTTTTTTTTTGTGATTTTTACTTATTTTAACACTCGTGAAGTATTCTAGAATCATTTTCAAGAATTTTCAACTTTTATTTGATGATGGAAAATAGTTTTTTCCATAATAATACAATAAGCGATCACACACGATTTGAAACTACCGGAGTTTCATTAGACGTTTCAAACAGTTACAAAAATTTTACCTGAATTCTCGTGGCAAGAAGGGGGGTGTGGACAATGTACCAGTGCAAACTATACAAGGCTGATTACGAGTATTAACAGCAGTTAATGGAATGAAGAAATCCCTGTAGGCTGCTAATCTCAGGAGATATATATTTACATAACTATCAGAAGTTATCATGGAAATTATAAATCTGTACTAAGGTATACCTATATATTTGACAGAATTCTGTAGATTTTTAAATGTTTCCATTCCATTTTTACAACTCCTGCAGTCAGCCATTATAAATATAATCTGAAACCAGAAAATATACAATTTATTACTGTGTCACAATAATTATTCAATCCAATATAACTTGCATGTTGCATTTAATAATTTCTTGACTGATTTATTTTACATTCTATTTCTGGAAAGTACTTTAAACACAAAAATTGTTCTTCTCAGTTTCAATTGAGAGGGCCTCAGGGAAGATTAGTAATTGTAACTAACTGTGTTTACCCTCTTTAAATAAAGAATTTATTATTATTATTATTATTATTATTATTATTATAATTAATGCAAGAACATTTATATGCAATCTACAACAAAGAAAGTTCTCCCCAAATAGGCTTAATAAACTTTATATCATCACCTTGGAATTTTAACTTCAATATGAAAAGGAGCAAAAGCTGACCATCTCAGAAATGAGTGTGACTTTGTACAGCTCAAGGAAACATATAGTGCAAGTCAAACTGACCTACTTTTCAAGGGAGGTTGTTATACTCTCTTAAATCAATCCTTACAACAAATTACTAAATTGAAAGTCACTTGTAAAAATAAATACAAGTCAATGAAGTGTAAATTGTAAGTCAGGGTGACCTACTTTTATATACACACATTTATACTGTCCTAAACATATCCTTTCACAAGTAAGACGATGGTATATAATTTAGTGATAATTTAATATCTGAAATATGATGTGAATAATTTTACCCATACTTACAAGGGCTACTTTTGTCACTTCACCAGCCCACTCTCTACCTGGCATAAAGGGATGTAAAGGTGCGTGTGATTTCTCCACTACTTCAGACCAGTACAGATGACTTAACAATGGAATGTTTTCTAGTTTTTCCAATTTTTTATTGATGTTTTCTGTTCCAAACTGAAGCAAAATAATACAAAGTTCTTAAAACTTACCAAATATTGAAGTCAAAGCAAACTTTAGAAGAGAATTGTTAAAAGAAAATTTACAAGTAAAACAGAAAATTTTAAAACAGGGTCATTGTGTGACTAAGTAGTTTTATAGAAATTAATAAAATCACTTTGTCATAATTTAGTTTAAAATAACATAAAAGTAATTAAATGTAATATTCATACTTGAAAAAACTTCAATGGAATGAAGGAACTATCATGGGGATTATATTGAAATTTAACATCAATCTGTGATGGTGATTGTCATCTACTGTGAAAACTATGTAAACATTCTAATCATTGAAGAGTGTCTGAAGGAGAGGGCATTATATTCTGATTGAACTGGAATGTATTTATGCTAATACAGCAGTCTACCATGCATAAATGGTCTGTATAAGTCCTTCTTATAAAACAATTGATTTAATGATGGAATGGCACTACTGTGCATATCAAAAATGTCAACAAGATGTTAATGAAATGGCAATTAATCTTGGACAATTAGCTGAAATATTTTACTAGTTGATCATTTTGTAGTGATGAATTCAAACTGCAATTTGTTAAAACATGTCAGGAAATTGGTATTGTAAAAGGACAAAACTTTTGGATATGCACAGAAATAAAACTAAAAATATGACCATTAAAATATCTATGTCTTTGGAACATAACTGTGTGTAAAGCCTAGTGTACTGTTGCACTAAGTTGCATGGATGCTTGTGTAACAGTTCAACAGTTTCAAACCATCATTTTTTTCTAAAAATGACCTGATCGGACAACTTTACAATAAGTGTTGAAGGAGGAGATGGCACCACTACAAAAGCATGGATGTCTAACCACCCATGACTTTAATGACACAAAAAAAGAGTGATATTTACACATGAATAATTCTACTCAAAGGTTATCGTAATTAGCAATGATACAATTATAATATTAATATATGAGATTACCAAATCATGCCATGATTTCTGAGTTTCTGTTTTTTTCTGTCTTTGTTTCTTGGGATGAATTGTCCATGTCCACCAGTATTGTTGTGGTGTACTGACTGTCTGGTTGTGTGATGTCAGGTAACAAGAACATCCATATGGTCCTTCATCTTTGTATGTAAACTACAATCACACCATTATACACATAAGCTTTTCAATTTCTCTTCACTTTTTAATAATTAAAACAACTAATAAAAAAAAAAAGACAAATTATCCAATTTTCCAAGGTGACAATAGTTGTTTACAAATAAAGGATTTGGATGATTTTCTATTGGAATATATTTCACTGATGCATCATTTATTGTCCACATTTTTTCTGGTAATATTGTCTCATCGTCAGTTACTGAGGGTATTTAATAGTTTTTTTTCTTTCTGTCTTTCTTAACATTGTCTTGCTCCAACTACATTTTGTTTTTATTTTCAAAAGGCATTATATGGTTTTTTCAGTTTTGTTATAATAAACTAAAAAATCCTGCAGGATAACATTAAGAAAGAATAATCAGTTATAATGTATGAACAAGGTTGTTGTTTTACTGACACACAGAAACTCCAAAATACCAATCTAATAAATATAATAGAAACGTGGAATGTGTCAAAGAATACATTGAGAAAACTTATTTATAATACCATATTAGGATCTTCCACACCATAGGGTTGGTAAATAAGTGGTAAGCGTATTGCATCTGCAACCTCTTCATAAGTTGATAACCAGTTATATACTGACATAGGTGTAGGTCTTTCTTCAGTAAATAATCTCTGTTGGATTGTATTATTGCTATCTACAATACAAAACAATTGTCTGAAATGACTGCAAATCTGATGTTTTCAAATAATTATAAAAACAATAAATTTTAATAATTGTAGGACTTCGAAAAATGCTTCAAACCTGATCATTAGTTTTTGTTTCATTTAAATTGAAACTTATACATATTCACATTACAATCAATACAATTGAAGCAGATGACATTTAATTAACCTTTTTCACTATTTCAGAATCAGTGACACTTGATCTGAGATTTAATGATACTTAAACTATTGACTTCACACCACAGTCACTTTTGCATTGTAGCATCAGGCATTCCCATTACGTCAAAATGTTACTGGATCTTAAATAATAACATTATCTAAAATTAGGAAATGGCAATAAATAAATCAACAACACCAAGGTATAAAATCAATTGACACTGCCCTTACCTTTATAATATAGCAGGGTAAATGGTAATCGCTGAGCTATTCTTGAACTGATCCATCTGTTTATAACTGGAAAGAATAAACACATAAAATACATATCTACCAAATTTATAAAATGCATGCGTAAATTTGTGAATATGAAAACAAAATATTTTCAATATAAATATTTGTTTTCAATTGTTCTATAGGGCATACTGAATATAAAAGAAAAATTATGAACAAGATATTTTTTAGCATTAGAAAATATAAGGAGATACCAAGGGGGAAATAAAAAATTATAGGTCAACGAGAGACACATAACACCATGGCCAAATGATGATAAACAAGAGTGCACATGCTGAAATGTCTTGCCTGTTTTACTTATCATTGATTTTATGTTGAAAGTCTGTCATATGCACTTAAACTTAACATTGACCAATGAACCATGAAAATGAGGTCAAGATCATATGAACCTTGCCAGACAGACATGTACACCTTACAATCATTCCATACAACAGATATAGTTGACTTATTGCTAAAAGTATCTGATAAACTGACAAAATCACAAAATTTATAACTGACCAATGAACCATGAATATGAGGTCAAGGTCATAGACAGACACATACACCTCACAATTATCCCATACACTAAATATAATTGACCTATTGCTTATAATATCTGCAAAATAGACCAAACCAAAAAAAAACAACTAAAAATTGTCCAGTGAACCCTGAAAATGAGATTGAGGTCAGATGAAACCTGGCAGACAGACATGTTCACCTGACAATCATTCCATATACCAAGTATAGTGGCCTTATTGCTTTTAGTATCTGAGAAATAGACCAAAACACAACAAGAGTGCACACGCTGAAATGTCTCGCCTTCTTTACTAATCATTGATATTATGTTGATAGTCCTAAATATAAAGCTTTATTACAACTGTCACATAAACTTAACATTAACCAAGTAAACTAAACATTGACCAATGAACCATGAAAATGAGGTCAAGGTCAGATGAACCATGCTAGGCAGGCATGTATAGCTAACAATTCTTCCATACAACAAATATAGTTGACCTATTGCTTATAGTTTAAGAAAAACAGACCAAAACACAAAAACTTAACACTGAGCAATGAACCTTGAAAATGAGGTCAAGGTCAAATAAAACCTGCGTGACTGACATATAGATCATAAAATATTTCCATACACCAAATATAGTTGAACTATTGCATATAGTATTATAAAAAAAGACCAAAACTCAAAAAACTTAACTTTGACCACTGAACCATGAAAATGAGGTCAAGGTCAGATGACACCTGCCAGCTAGACATTTATTTTGTATTTACATTGTGTCATAGGTCAAATTTATTTGTTCAGTGTATGTTCAATGGTGTTAATATGTCCTTTGATTGAGTTAAGCTATTTCAGTTGATATTTTATAGTGTGTCTTTCTATGTTGTGATGTTACACTATTGTTTCAGAAAAAGGGTGAAGGTTTGGTACCATTAAAACGTTTAAACCCGCTGCATTTGTTTGCACCTGTACTAAGTCAGGAATCTGATGTTCAGTAGTTGTCGTTTGTTGATGTGGTTCATAAGTGTTTCTCGTTTTTTATATAGATTAGACCGTTGGTTTTCCCGTTTGAATGGTTTTACACTAGTAATTTTTTGGGGCCCTTTGTAGCTTACTGTTCGGTGTGAGCCAAGGCTCCGTGTTGAAGACCGTACTGTGACCTATAATGGTTTACTTTTATAAATTTTGACTTGGATGGAGATTTGTCTCATTGGCACTCATACCACATCTTCTTATATCTATGTACACCTAACAATCATTCCATACACCAAATATAGTAGACCTATTGCATACAGTATAAGAAAAACAGACCAGAACACAACAACTTAACACTGAGCAATGAACCTTGAAAATGAGGTCAAGGTCAAATAAAACCTGTGTGACTGACATATAGATCATAAAATATTTCCATACACCAAATATAGTTGAACTATTGCATATAGTATTAGAAAAAAAGACCAAAACTCAAAAACTTAACTTTGACCACTGAACCATGAAAATGAGGTCAAGGTCAGATGACACCTGCCAGCTAGACATGTACACCTAACAATCATTCCATACACCAAATATAGTAGACCTATTGCATACAGTATACGAAAAACAGAACAAAACACAAAAACTTAACTATAACCACTGAACCATGAAAACGAGGTCAAGGTCAGATGACACCTGCCAGTTGGACATGTACACCTTACAGTCCTTCCATACACCTAATATACTAGACTTATTGCTTATAGTATCTGAGATATGGACTTGACCACCAAAACTTAACCTTGTTCACTGATCCATGAAATGAGGTCAAGGTCAAGTGAAAACTGTCTGACGGGCATGAGGACCTTGAAAGGTACGCACATACCAAATATAGTTATCCTATTACTTATAATAAGAGAGAATTTAACATTACAAAAAATCTTAACTTTTTTTTCAAGTAGTCACTGAACCATGAAAATGAGGTCAAGGACATTGGACATGTGACTGAAGGAAACTTCGTAACATGAGGCATCCATATACAAAGTATGAAGCATCCAGATCTTCCACCTTCTAAAATATAAAGCTTTTAAGAAGTTAGCTAACGCCGCCGCATCACTATTCCTATGTCGAGCTTTCTGCGACAAAAGTCGCAGGCTAGACAAAAACTAAACATTGTTTAATGAACCATGAAATTGAGGTCAAGGTCAGATGAAATCTGTCAGTCAGATATGTACCCCTTACAATCATTCCATACACCAAATATAGTTAACCTATTTCTTATAGTATCTGACAAATAGAATAAACCACAAAAACTAAACATTGTTCAATGAACCATGAAATTGAGGTCAAGGTCAGATGAAATCTGCCAGTAGGACATGTACCCCTTACAATCATTCCATACACCAAATATAGTTGACCTATAGCTTATAGTATCTGTATCTATATGTAGAAACCAATTCTGACTTTCACTTAACAGGAGAGAGAGAGAGCACCACATGATGATGGCATCAATGAAACTGTCAATGAGAAGACTTCTTCTTTACATTTGAGAACCCTTGATTCAAAAGTTGTTTGTTACCAGCAACCATGTGTCGGGGAAATCTTGATAGGAAATGCAAGCCCTGTAATACTGTATAAATTGTGAGAGATATACTCCATTTGCATGTGCTGCTAGAATGTTGCTACATTCAAATGAAAATTTACTATGGAATGTTAAATTCATGGTTTTTCTTCTTACCTGCTACGAAAGTTGCGGGAAGCGAGACATAGGGATAGCTTTTCTGGCAACGGGGATGGCTTCGGCAACGAAGGCGTCAACAATTGTCAAGTTTTCTGCTTAAGTTAGTTTGATAGGAACTACTTGTGATAGTTTATTGATATTTCATATACAGTTGCATTACTATCAGTACATATCAGTTTGACAACTGTTTTAAGGCCTGTCCACTAGGTCATGGTACAGTGACTTTGAATTAATAAGCAATTTTCAATGTTAAGTTTTCTGCTTAAGTTAGTTTGATATGATTTACTTGTGATAGATCAATGATATTTTGTATGAAATTGCATTACTATCAGTTCATATCTGTTTGAGAACTAATTTGAGGCCCTGCACCCTAGGTCATGGTCCAGTGACTTTGAATTAATTAGCCAAATTTTAAAGTTAGATGTGCATTTATAACTGTGTTTATTCATATAAAAATAAGGAGATGTGGTATGACTGCCAATGAGACAACTATCCACCAAAGTTCAAATGAAGTGGATGTAAGCAATTATAGGCAACCGTACGGCCTTCAACAATGAGAAAAACCCATACCGTATGGTCGGCTATAAAAGGCCCCGACATGATAAATTACCCATGTCATATTTAAAGCTGCATATATAATATTAACTACTTACAATAGACAAAGACATTCTCTATAAAGTTACATTACTGTCTGAGCATCTCAGTTTGTCAACCATTTCTAGACCCTGCCCACAAGATCATGGTTCAGCGACTTTGAATTAATAAGCAATGTTGTTGTCCATCAGATTGTCTTTTTCTGAATTTAATGCAGACAGGCGAGACATATCTCTGTGTCAACAGTTTATTTTGTAATGTTTAGGTCTCAACAAACGCTCACTGTGTGTGTCAGTATATAAATGAAGCAGACCTAACTGAATCTAAAGTATCTTTTATTTCAATTTCAAAGGGATATATGCCAGCAATCTTTTTTTTTTATATAAGAGGCAAAAATAACCATATTTGATTGTGAAATAAATATATTAAATTTATATTATACCACCAAATTTAACAGAGTTTTAGCAAAATGAAAGCTTTGACACAGGTAACAATTCAAAAAGCTTATGAATATTTCATATAACAACAATAAATGAAAAAAAAGTATTCCACTGTAAAGAAATGGAGACAGTACCGTAGAAAGGCTTGTATAGTCCGCGGTTTTATTCTCAAAAATTGGACCTTCCAGACGGGTTGCGGACTATAGAGTACAATAAGCAAGAAATAAGAGAAAAATTTCAATTTTGCGGGCGAGGTGGTTTGTTTACGTTCCGCCATCTTATTTTAACAATCATGAAGCGTTCTAGAATCAATTACAAGCAGTTTCAGCTTCTGTTTGATGATGGAAAACAGGTTTTTCCAAGAAAATACCGCAAACGACCACACAGGATTTGAAATTACCGGAGTTTCATAAGACCTTTTCTAAGAGTTACAAAAAGTTTTTTTTACCTAAAATTTCGTGGGGAGAAGGGGGTGCGGACTATGTACCAGTGCGAACTATACAAGCCTTTCTACGGTAAATGCCTGGACTTTCTAAAGGATAACAGGGGAGAATTTGAATTTTTAACAAGGAAAAGATGATTTTTTTTAGTTTAAATATAAAGTTTGCTGTTTTTATGACTTAAACAAGATCGTAAAACAACAACATGTGTTTTGTGTCATTTAAACAAGTAGACATAAGAAATCCTACTTTTTCTAGAATCTGCTGTGTCATCAGTTATATCAACCAAACCAAAAAGGACCTCTACACCAAGGTCCCAGAATTCATCCATAGTCCTGTTTAGAGCTGATAAATAACCATATATTCCTGGACTCCAATATGCATAAAACGTTAGTATCTTGGGAGTATAAATTTTCATGCTGCTTTTTATTACATCTCTTTCAAACGTAGCCTGCAATACAGAGACATTAAAAAAGTATGTTTCTACCGTTTTTTTTTCTTCAAATATATATATACATATATATGGTATTTCAAGTGAGTTCAGTTTACACAAATTTCATTTTTACTGAAATACAAATTAGATAAGACACAAGTCAAACAGACTTATGAAGTATTTTCCATTAAACACATTTAACAATACAATTAATAAGAGAATGCATACATTTCAAATATTATTTCTACATTTATATAAGTTGTAGAGAAATTCAATTTGTCAAAAGACAGAAAATGATTACTAAATATACTGTGAAATTTGATTGCAGTTCTTTTTATTGACAGCTGGTAGGTCACAAAGAATAAGCATAAAAATCAGCTCATGAAGTCAGATCAAGACAGACCCTAGTGTCAACATAAATCAAGCTGTTAGATATTCATTGAAAAGTGCTAAAAATGTGTGTGGAAGTCCAAAATGGCAAAAGTAATTAAACAACCAGTGAAGCCAGAAATAGGATTCAACAAATGATGCTTTTCAGTCTAATACTGGTATAACAGGATTGCTACATAGTCAAATATCACCCATGCTGTATAAATAAGGAATTACAATGTGTCATTGTGGAACGATTATCAAAATATGGTAAATGTCCCATAACTCCTAATTAATGGTCACATCAAAATGATAGTATATATGGTCAACTACATATGATGGCAAAAGTCTTACCAAGTATAAAGTAAAATCACAAAAATACTGAACTCTGAAGAAAATTCAAAAAGGAAAGTCCCTAATCAAATGGCAAAATCAAAAGCTCAAACACATCACATGAATGGATAACAACTGTCATATTCCTGACTTGGTACAGGCATTTTCTTATGTAGAAAATGGTGGATTGAACCTGGTTTTATAGCTAGCTAAACCTCTCACTTGTATGACAGTCGCATCAAATTCCATTATATTGACAACGATGCGTGAACAATACAAACAGACACAATAGGTAAATGTCAAAAATAGGGGTACAGCAGTCATTATTGTGTTATCATCTTAATCACTATAAAAACAAACAAATGTATATTAAAAAAGAAGCACAAAAAGGCATATATCAAATTTAACATCCTCATTTTGCTTTTTATGAGAGCTTTGTCAAATGTTCTCAGTTGAATTGCTTTCACAAGGTGACAGTATTATATTATTCTAAAAATGGCGAAAGTCACAAACATGGCAGTGCTATATTGTCAACTTAACATGGTCACAAGACTCCAGAAAGTAGTCAAAGTCCCATAACTCTCTTTGTTTTGATAAGATCAAAATGGCACTTTTAGATGATCAACTACAAATGATGGCACACAATCTTACCAAATATGTAGCTTTCTATTAAACTGTTACACAGGAGTTGCATTCACAAGGTGTTTTGTCACAACCCTAAAATAATTGGTCAAAGTCATATAACTCTGGTAAAAATGTTTAAATCGAAATAGTGGTACAATATGGTCAACTACACATGATGGCAAACAATCCTACCAAGTATGAGAGCTTGTAAAAATAGTCAAATCAAACTGACGATAAACAATGGTCAAGAGAATATGACGATAAATATGCCTTCTAACGTAACCAAGTATGAAACCTGTATGTCAAAGGGTCTCTTGAGAATTGATGTGTTTTGGACAGATGGACAGACTGACAACGCAGATTATTACCATATCCCCAACAGCGCAATGGGGGTGGATAATAACATACCAAAGTGTAATGTGGAACTGGTAACAACCTGGACTTGATAAATATATCTAATGACAAAACTGTCATCTGTTGTTTGCTGAAGTGATGTACTGTTTTGACAGTGTCTGAAATACAAAATGTATATGTAAGCGTCGTGTAGTTGGAAATGAGGCAGTTATATTTTTGTCAGTAATATTCATTAAATAAAAAAATATGTAACACTTCCATATAGTAATTTTGTAAATAAAAATCATATGCGAAATTGTTCTATGTGATTTCTTTGATCTCCCTTCAGAAAAACAATGATACATTCATTTATATACTGTTAAATGGTTCATAACAAAACAATAGCAATCATAAAACAGACAAAAGGTAGACATATTTCATCTTTGTTTCCTATAATCAGTTATAATGGTTGCATGGATGTATGTAAGTAATTCATCTTTGTTTCCTATAATCAGTTATAATGGTTGCATGGATGTATGTAAGTAATTGACTAACTCATTGACACACCCAGTCCAATAAAGATTCATGCAATTCAGACTTTCTTCATTTTCTTGTTTATATGCTTCTTGATATTTAATTGACTGCAGTATACAGTGTGCTACAATTAAGGTAGATTAACTGTATACCGCCACCTTGGATTGTAAACTGGCAGTACACAATTGGTCTAGTTCTTTGCTTGAATCTGCAAGTTTTGAGACAGATTGGCAACTAATGAGTAAGACTGTTATATGGTAATTTAAATTAAGAAACATAAGTGATTTATTGCATTTTTCAAGAATGTTTTAACAATGCCAAATATTTGTTTTTGTTTGAATAAATTTTTCAACTTTAAATAACTGACTATACGGTATGGGTTTTTCTCATTGTTGAAGGCCGTACAATTGCCTATAATGCTTACAACCACTTCATTTGAACTTTGGTAGATAATTGTCTCATTGGCAATTATACCTCATCTCCTTATTTTTATATAAATAAGGAGAGATAACTCTTATAGTAAATTTTTTATAAAGAAATGCTAATGAAATTTTCATTTTTTACTTGTAGCAATAAAACAAGTTCAATAACCATTTTTCCTTAAAGCATTTAGATTTCTTTTCATTGAGACTTTGGGTATTTCCCGGTGTTATAGTTATACTATTTATATGTTTAAAACTGGTTAGAGTAGTTGTATAAAGGGTTCTTGTTTTGGGATATAAATATATATTGGTAATATATGCATGTGAAATAATTTGGCAGTTTAAAAGGTGGGATTCCGTTATATTATATAAAGAAATTTTTTGGGTGTCCCTTCATCGAAAGGTGCTCACAGTAACTATGACAGTCAGTCGGTTTGCCGTTCATTGTCGCATATCAATACTATATGATTATTATATTAAGTTTGATTTCAGTTCATTTAAATGTATTGGACATTTTGTTTGTATGAAAAATTTGAATATTGTTGTTATATAATATATTGGTTTATAATGTTATCAAACATAGTTTGCTAGAAAAAAGAAGTTACTACGAGCAACTAAACCTATACCTAGAGTTTTGTTTTATTTATTATAATAAGGATATTAGTAAAGAAATGTTTTTAATTCAGACTAGCATTGCGAGGGAGAATTTAAATCATAAAACTTATTTTCTCATATTTCATTTCAAAATTCTATCTCATAGATTTTATTTATTCACAAAAAAGCGTTTTTTTCTTGAATAATTCATGCAACATTAGGCAATTTTGCATGACTTGTAGCTTGAAAAATAGCATGATGACCCAAATGTTTTGTTACATTTTTGAAAAAAAGCATGGTAAAATCTACATTTTGGCAAAGAAGAAGAAAATTCAGTCTGAGGAAATATATTGTGATGATCCCCATCTTAAGTAATAATCAAAGCGCGAAAGCGCTGTAAAGGCAGTTAATTACAGGTTGTGTGTATTTTTAGTCCAGTTATATCATTATCTTGCATAGTACATTGTACTTATCAGAGGTGGCTTTCAGTATTTAAGATTTAGAGTTCTCTAATGATATTGAACAAGTTTTTATGAATGTCATATTCTGAGCACTATATGAAGGCGATTGTTCTCACTTGTTTATGAACTAGTGCATTATGTCCAGTTTGTACCTTTTTTATCTATGTTTATAGTCAAATACTGTTTAAAATAGTTTGGCATTTTCTTTTAAGTAATAAGTAAATGTTATCAACTGTATTTTATTCAACTTTGCAAATGTGGTTTGTTACTGGTAAGTACAATGTATGGATGATAGTTGTTTCATTGGCAATCATAACACATCTCCTTATTTATATAATGATCTATATTCAACGACCTCACCCCCCAAGGGTGACTGGGGAATAGAAATATGGTCACCATTGGTCTTCCTCCGATCGGCGGTAAAACCCTCGTCACAGTGGGGCGTCCGTTTGGCTGTGCGGGATGTACAAAATCGCAGCCACGTCCGGTCAGAATGGGGACGTTAAATCCGATGCCTCGTGTAAAGAGAGTGCCACGCTCTTTGCACGTTAAGAACCCTTGCAACAACTCTTTGAGGGGTCCGTAGGTGACCTGTTGCAAGGCTAAATTTCTGTCTCTATCCAATATACCCTCATTTCCCGTGGCAGTCTAAATTTCTCCGACCTTAATCCCTTAATCTATTACAGAACCTACCTATTGTATTTATTGTGAACTTGTTCTCGTCCTGAATATGCATGAAATATTTGCCACTGGACGTTAAGCAACCAACAATCAATCAATCAATCAATCAACGACCTCAGGTACAAAAAAAATGTATGTAACTAAACTATGATGGGAAACCTTTGACTTCTTTCTTTAATATAAACTTTTGATTTGGTACCATAGAACTATGTAGAATAAATGTACATTGCAACATGTCAACTCTTTCAATGACAATACTTTTTTTAGAAACTATAACTCCAAGCAAAATTATATTTCCAAGTATAAAGTAATTTATGAATGAAACAAGAGTGCACACGCTGAAATGTCTCGCCTTCTTTACTAATCATTGATATTATGTTGATAGTCCTAAATATAAAGCTTTATTACAACTGTCACATAAACTTAACATTAACCAAGTAAACTAAACATTGACCAATGAACCAAGAAAATGAGGTCAAGGTCAAGGTCAGATGAACCATGCTAGACAGGCATGTACAGCTAACAATTCTTCCATACAACAAATATAGTTGACCTATTGCTTATAGTTTAAGAAAAACAGACCAAAACACAAAAACTTAAAACTGAGCAATGAACCTTGAAAAAATGAGGTCAAGGTAAAAAAAAACCTGCGTGACTGACATATAGATCATAAAATATTTCCATACACCAAAGTTGAACTATTGCATATAGTATTAGAAAAAAAGACAAAACTCAAAAACTTAACTTTGACCACTGAACCATGAAAATGAGGTCAAGGTCAGATGACACCTGCCAGCTAGACATGTACACCTTACAATCATTCCATACACCAAATATAGTAGACCTATTGCATACAGTATAAGAAAAAGAGACCAAAACACAAAAACTTAACTATAACCACTGAACCATGAAAATGAGGTCAAGATCAGATGACACCTGCCAGATGGACATGTACACCTTACAGTCCTTCCATACACCGAATATACTAGACCTATTGCTTATAGTATCTGAGATATGGACTTGACCACCAAAACTTAACCTTGTTCACTGATCCATGAAATGAGGTCGAGGTCAAGTGAAAACTGTCTGACGGGCATGAGGACCTTGCAAGGTATGCACATACCAAATATAGTTATCCTATTACTTATAATAAGAGAGAATTCAACATTACAAAAAATCTTAACTTTTTTTCAAGTAGTCACTGAACCATGAAAATGAGGTCAAGGACATTGGACATGTGACTGACGGAAACTTCGTAACATGAGGCACCCATATACAAAGTATGAAGCATCCAGACCTTCCACCTTCTAAAATATAAAGCTTTTAAGAAGTTAGCTAACGCCGCAGCCGGATCACTATCCCTATGTCGAGCTTTCTGCGACAAAAGTCGCAGGCTCGACAAAAAGGAGTTCTTAATTAAGTAATAAACTGATTCGCTGAGCGCAGCTGGATACACCCACAGAGGTCCAACCCTGAACAGTTGGGGCAAAAATGGACACAATATTCAAGCTTGATACAGGTCTGAATTTGGATTGTAATTAAATATTTGACATATTATAGTTTCTGAATAAATGTAGTCAAAGAACTTGAAATCAGTTATATGAATTGAATTTACATTCAATTAAAGATTTCTTGCTGTTGTGCAATACACTGTGCTGTTGCGCAATACTTAATAAATTTGTTGCCAGACTATAAACAAATAAAGTTCAATTTCTTCTCAATGTCATATTTGAAATTTATGAAAATCAATAGGGAGATTACATCAATAGCTATAAATAATTCACCAAAGTTTCATGCGAACTGCTTAAAGCATTTTTGAGTTGTTGTCCAAAAACTGGAAAATCCCCCCCTTTTTAATGAATAAAACCCCATAACTCAGAAATGTAAAATCTAAAATTTATAAAATTCTAAAGGGAGCTTACGGATTGATAATTTAGTCTTAGATGCAAGATTTTTTTATCAGTTGTTTGTGGCTTTGAACTAGCTGTCAGTAAATGCGAGTACTCTCAGATCTGTACTTAGTGTCTTTTTGTCGTTTGGATGTACAACTACCCGGCCACGTCCACTTGTATTTGTATTTATCCATCTGATGAGTTAAGCCTCTTTCAAATGATTTTTATAGTTCGCTCTTATATTGTACTGTTACACCACTGTCCCAGGTAAGGGGGTGGGTTGGGATCCCGCGAACATGTTTAACCCCGCCACATTCTGTATGTACATGTATGTGCCTGTCCCAAGTCAGGAGCCTGTAATTCAGTGGTTGTTGTTTGTTTATGTGTTGCATATTTGTTATTCGTTCATTTTTTGTTCATAAATTAGGCCGTTAGTTTTCTTGTTTGAATTGTTTTACATTGTCATTTCGGGGCCTTTTATAGCTCACTGTGCGGTATGTGCTTTGCTCATTGTTGAAGGCCGTACTGTGACCTATAGCTGTTAATTTCTGTGTCATTTGGTCTCTTGTGGAGAGTTGTCTCATTGGCAATCATA